ACCATCTTCTATCTCTTCTTGCCAGACCAACTCTCTGCTGTTACTGCCACAAAAACTCCCTGCTGTCACTGCCTCACTATCTCCCTGCTCTCACGGCCACACAAGCTCCTATTCTCATTGCTACAAGATCTTCCTGTTCAACATGCTGCAACATCTAGTTCACACTGCAACACCATCTCTGCGCTCTCACTGCCAACTCCATGCCACACCATCTCTCAGCTCTCACTGCCACACCAACTCCCTGCTCTATGTGCCTCGATATGTCCCTGCTCACATTGAACACCATCTTTCTGCTCTCATTGCCACCTCATCTCCCTTCCCTTACTGCCACACCATCTTGCTGCTATCACTGCCACACAATCAGCCTGCTCTCACGCCACACAATGTCTCTGCTTGCAATGCCTCACCATCTCCCTGCCACACCATCTTTCTGTTGTAACTGCTGCACCACATATCTGCACATGCTGCAACACCACATTTCTGCACTCACTACCACACCATCTTTCCTGCTCTTAGTGCCACACCATCTACCTGCTCTCAATGACACCATCTTCCTACTCCCACTGCCTCACCATCTCAATACTCTTACAGCCACACTCTCCCTCCTCTCAGTGCGACACAAAATCCCTGAACTCAAAATCTCCCAGCACTCACTGCCACACAATCTCCTTTCTCTCACTACCAAACCATCTCCCTGCTCTCACTATCACACAAGTGCCCTTGTCTCACTGCCACACCATCTCCCTTCTTTAATTGTCTCACCATATCCCAGCTCTCACTGCCACACTATTTTCCTGCTTTCAATGCCACACAATCTGCCTGCTCTTACTGCCACACAATCTCTCTCCTGATTGCACCACAATCTCATTGCTTTCACTGCCACAGCAAAGCCATTCTGTCATGGCCTCACCAACTTGCTGTTCTTAGTGGCAAAGAGAGCAGGGATATTGTGTGGCGATAAGAGCAAGGAGATAGGGTGGCTGTGAGAGGAAGAAAGAAATTGTGGCAGTGACAGCAAAGAGATGGTGTGGCAATGACATCTGGAAGATGGTGTGGGAGAGCAGGGAGATCGTGAGGCAGTAAGATCAGGAAGATGATGTAGCAGTGAGATGGTGTGGCAATGACAGAGGGGGGCCCCATGAGAGCAGGGAAATTGTGTGCCAGTGAGAGCTGGGAGATGGTGTGCAGTGAGAGCAGTGAGTTAGTGTGGCAGTCCGAGCAGGAAGT